AATTATAAAATATTTTCTGAAAAAAGATGGCAATAGCACAAGTGAGAAAAAATGCATGCATGGTTTGTGTAAATGGTTTAATGTTTAGTATGCATGAGTTTCAAACTGATATAAGTAGATTTTTGCAATGTTGCAACCTCCATTCAACTCAAGAAAGAAATAATTTTTCATTTAAATTTTGAAAACTTTTGTAAGATTGCCAAAAGATTAATTGTATCCAATCCTGCTTTTACGAAATCCATTATTTCATCATATAGATGTAATAATAATATTAAGTTTTTTTTTTTTTTTAGTAAATTTTTTTTTTACCTTAAATCATATTTTTAATTAAACATGACAATTACTAAATAATTTTAATAACTAAACAAGTAATTAAGTAAAATATCAATATTATATAATATTATAAATATATATATATATATATATATATATATATATATATATATATATATATATATATATATATGCACATATACTAACATATACACACAGATATAAACATGTACATAAATGAATTTGAAAAACTATAAACCTCATCGCAGTTGCTCCCAATTAAGCTATTATAAAACATCGTCATTCGTTCAATCAAAAGATTGATGCTTTCTCTTACAATGAGATCAAAGTAAATCCTGCTTTAATACAAGAATCAGTTAAGTCTAAGATTTGTTTAAAGAACCCGAAATGGTACTTAAGTCTGTAGTCCTTTCAGTATTGAAAAGGAATTTGATTGTGTTATTAAACGTTGACAATCGTGAATGTAACCAGTTAGATATGAGATGTTGTCCCATAACTCACAATATCAAAATCCTGGGATTGAAAAAGACCTTCAGGATTGCGATCTTTTAATTTATTATGATTATAATATATAACATTTTGATTTTAATTTTATTAATAAAATTTTATTTTCACTATTTGGGTCATTCCATGTCAACTCAACCAGTGTTCACCACACCATCTCAGATCTTCCTGAAATTTTTAGGACTTGTAGTACATACAAAGTTAAGCAATTGCTGAAATTTTTAGACCCTTTGGTCAAAAACTTTCTGAGATATGATTTTTTAAAGTTTTAAGGGTTGTCGCGAGTTCACATGACTTTTACATTTTTGCGATATTTGAATGTGAATGTTTCAAAAACAGGTATCAGGCTGAAATTTTCAGCATTTACTCATTTTTTTATGCTGAGTTGAATGGTGTTTTTATATCAAATTTAGCTTGCATACAATATCCCTTAAAAATGTCCAAAATGTCAATAATAGTGTACTCATTGTAGGCACCGTTATGCATCACGATCATCAATGTTTTTGCACATTGCGACCCCCAGATGATCATGTTGACAGTAACTCACACGTTTCATATTTTGCACACTTATTAACCTCAGTAAGTACTAGCTATGGTGAAAATTTCACCACCAAATCACCAAATTATGTCGGTGTCTTGCCTCCTTCTTGGTGAAAAATCTGCAAGAAATTAAATATTTTCAAATGAATTTTTTGTTTAATATTTTATTGCCAAATCATTATAAATCTAGTTTCTTTAAAAATCACTATGCTTATAAGTTTAGAGTTAAAGTAATCTAAATAATAATTATTAAAGCAAATTTTGTTCCTTGTTCAAGAAGTATTATCTCTCTTCAAAATTTGTGACAATTTATTAATATTTGATCTTTGGTAGCCTTTGTTAATAGGTCACATGGGCACTCATTTCTTTATTTTTTGCCATCCTGTTATTTATATTCCTCAGCAATTTCTTTTTAAATCTAATATTTAATTTGATAATTTCAGTTTCTCTAACTTTTTAATAAACAATTTGTAATTGCAATCTTTCAAGGGATCCTAATATTTTTTCTGTCTAGTGAAGTTTTTTATTGTAGGTAATTTTTTTTAGGTATTCCATTTTTAAATAAAAAATATTTATAAACATATATTGAAAGTTTTACTGAATTATGAGAAAGTAGCATGTTAATTTATATTTTTTTTGGTTAAATTAGTTTTTATAAAAATATGTTATCACATTTTTTTTTAATTTGATATAGATTCAATATTTACTTAATATGGCTGAACTGCCATTGTGCACATTTAGACTGTTGTTTCAAGATAAATGTCACAAGACAGTTCATACAAGCAGTGTCGGCTTGCATAACCTGTCACAATTATCCGATGCTAACTTTGAATTGTTGATGTTAAGAACTAAGCCTGTTGATCAATTACAAAGAGAGAACTGCAATATATGCTTCCACCACGAACAAGTTCTACATTCGAAAAATTTGATAAATTGCAGCGGAGTTGTTATGATCCATTCAATAAACATCAATGTAAAGTCACTGAGGGCAGTCAGTATTGACAAAGCCAAGGAGCTAACGCTAACAACTGGGAGACGCAAACCTGGTGAGAAGCTATGCCCAAGCTGTCAAAAGTACAATACATCCCAGGAACCTGAACAGAGTTATGATCATTCAGCTAGTGATACCGATATAGAAAACGTTGACTTGCATCTTTCTCAACTAAATGATAGTATAACAAACGTTGGCTGTGCACCAGTTAAGCTTCATACAATGCCTGTTCAAAGTAGAATTTCATATGCCAATAGTAAAAGTGCAACTACAACAACAAAGATCCAGAAGAAAGTAAGCAAAGTTATCCAAGTACCTCCTAATCTAGTTGTGAATGAAGGTTATGCTACAGAATACGATGGCTGCAATGACTTAACAAAACTAGTGACTGAATTAAAGATTAAGTGCAGTACAGCTTCCAGGCACGAAAAAATTAAGATGGTAACACTAGCACCATCTAGCTGGAGTCTACAGAAAGTCTCACAGGAATTTGGAGTAACCAGGCACATCATTAAGCAAGCGAGAAAATTTATGAAGTCATGTGGAATTTTGGCAGACCCACAGAAAAAAAATGGCAAAGTTCTCCCAGATGATGTGATTAAAAGTGTACGTAAATTTTTTGAAGATGATGAAATTTCCCGCATGTGTCCAAGTCAAAAGGAATTCTTGTCAATCAGAATTGATGGTGAACGTGTTCTTAAACAAAAACGTCTTCTACTTTTGAATCTTAAGGAGATGCAACATGCAACATAAAATGCTAATGCCACATCAGATGTACAATTGGGCAACCAAAAATCTTCCAGGAATTCACTTCTTTTTTGCAGCAAAAGATGACGTGGAGGTGCATCATAGCTTCAGAAGATATTCAGGTTGTCATGTGATAACTTGGGTACAATTGTCAATGTGTCGCCAGAACCTGACCTGGCAGTTGAACCGGCACCAAGTATAACAGATTTGCATCCAGGATAGTTTGTGGCTGTTGTTTATGACACTGATTGGTTTATTGGTTACATAAGAGAACATTCTGATGAACATCAAGATATCTTGGTAAAGTTCATGAACAGAACATCTACAAACAGATTAACTTGGCCACATTGTAAAAATATCTGTTGGATACCATTCACTAATGTGCTGTGCAATCTTCCACCACCAATGTTGTCTGGCAGTTCAGCAAGACAGTACTTCTATGATGATGAGCATTTTGACAATTGTAAAAAACTGTTTGGTAGTAGAACTGTGTGTAAATAGATAAGATACCAACAGTTAAATGCATTGTCACCATACACTGATATCGCTTTACATGGTTGCTTGTATTGTTGATAAACAACAGTCTATAATTTAATATTGTAACTTAAACTTACTATTTTTTCATAAAATTTAATTCACAGTTCATTGCTTTGATAATTTACCACAATACACTTTAATGTACAAAAAATATTAAAAAAAAAAACTTAACGAAATATGGTTTTAATTAGCAATTGATTTAGTAGGAAAGACTTAAGACACCAACATGAAATTTTCACTATAGCTAGTACTTACTGAGGTTAATAAGTGTGCAAAATATGAAATGTGTGAATTACTGTCAACATGGTCATCTGGGGGTGACAATGTGCAAAAAAATTGATGATCGTGATGCATAACGGTGCCTACAATGAGTACACTATTATTGATTAACATGAATTTTTTATGAAAATAATAAACACATATATGGTACTTATTAATGGTATAACAAATATCATTCCATGTTTTATAGGTTCTTGGCTATATCGGGTCAAATATTGGTGAAAACTGTCCAAAGTGCAATGTTTGGACATTTTTAAGGGATATTGTATGCAAGCTACATTTGATATAAAAACACCATTCAACTCAGCATAAAAAAATGAGTAAATGCTGAAAATTTCAGCCTGATACCTGTTTTTGAAATATTCACGTTCAAATATCGCGAAAATCTAAAAGTCATGTGAACTCGCAACAACCCTTAAAACTTTAAAAAATCTTATCTCAGAAAGTTATTGACCAAAGGTCTAAAAATTTCAGCAATTGCTTAACCTTGTATGTGCTAGAAGCCCTTAAAATTTCAGGAAGATCTGAGATGGTGTGGTGAACAAATGCTGGTTGAGTTGATATGAAATGACTCATTTTTTAATTTAGAGTAAAAAAAAAAAGTAGCAGAAAACTGTGAATTGTTTGGATAAAGAAAGGGAATTAATTAAAGTGTTATTAATTGAATGGTCATACAAAGAGTTTTAAAATGAATATGGAAGTTTTTATTTTATAGCGTAAACAATGCATTGTACAATTTTAGTATTTAAAATAAGTCCAAAAATATAAACTAAGAATTTTCCTTTTTGATTAGAACACTGAGGTGTATAGACTTTAAATTACTATTTTCTTATTTCACTTTTGGGACTTGGATAGAACAAGGTTGATCAAGGTTGAAAACTATTAAAGGTAGTGTGATTAAAAAAAAATTATTTTTCAAAATCTTGGACTAAGAAAAATAAACTATTAAACAACTAAATAAAAGATAACTAAATAAAAGGTTAAACTTGTAATTATGTTTTGAATGACTTTAGTGTAAAGTAGTTTTGATAAATATTTTATGTTGTTTCAAATGCTATTCAATAAATTATTAAACAATTTGTGATAACTTGCTAACTATTTTTTAAAGGATGCACTTGCTCTACTTCGGTTAGATGATCTTTTTTTGGAAAGTTTTGAGATAAATGATGGTAAGATTTAAAAAAATTATATATGATATGATGGTAATTTATTTTTTAAATAATTTTCAAATGTTCAATTTTGTTTAATACACTATTAGTAATAATTAATAGTCTTGAATCCAAATTTTCTTTCGTTTTTTTTTTTTTTGAGCCAGAGTTTTTTTGTTCTATTTGTACTAAATTGTATAATAAATTGTATAAAATTTCAAAGTATGAAAAAAGTAAGGCCTCTAGTAAAATCTTGTCTTTATTTAATTCATTTACTAATGTTTATATAGTACTAATAATGGATTCTAAGTTTCTGATAGTTGTAAGTGATAGTTGCAAGTGATAGTTGTAAGTGATAGTTGTATTTGTTAAATAGTTGATTTTATTAATAATACTCTTGAATTAGTTAATTAGTCTTGAATTAGTGGTTGCTTGCAGCCTTGTTAGAAGCAAAGATAATTAAAAAAAAAAAAAAAAAGAATCTATTAATCTTTGAAGTTTTTATCAACATTTTGCTTAAATTACGTTTTAATGAGAAAAAAAAAACTAAATAATTAAGAAAAAAAAAAAGTAATTGTATAAACTTTCTTAAAATCAAAGAAGTATTAAAAAGTTTTTTTTTCCTTTTTAAAAGTATATAGTTATAGTAAAAAAACTTGATGAATTGTTTATCATTATACGCATTACTAATAAATTGGCACTCTACAAATCTAATTCATATAGTGCTACACAAATTATTGCACCATTAAGTCTGCTATATTGGAAAAATGTGCTGGAAAAAAATCTACTTGATTTTGTTGTCAATGCAAATATGTGGAGCATTGTAAAAAATATGTATGACCAAGGCTAGAATATAAATACCTAAAATTGAAAGATTAACTGGTTAAATGATTAACTGATTAGTTTACTTAATTTAAAATAAAAACTAAACTAATTACTTGGAATCAGTTTAATTATTGTTATGAATACATTAGTAAGCCATCGAGCAAGTTATTTTTCTTCCATCCTTAAGTTGGTAATCTTAAGTCATCCTTAAGTTAAGTAAGCAAGTTGTTTTTCTTCCATCCCAAGACTTTAGTGTTGTAAATATGCTTGATAGTCTTTGCATGTCTGGAATATCAGCCTTCATATAGATGTGATTTGTAAACAACAAAAAGTCGCAGATTGGTATCAGTAACTTTGACAAAATTACTGGCTATGCAAATGTTTTTTTTTTGTTACTAACCAGTTTTATAGAGTGTTTAACACCATACCTGCAAACTATATGCTGTTTCCCTTGATTGCCTGATAATTTAATTTGATTAAATTTCCACTAATTAAAAAGCTGTATTTGATGTAAAATGACTTTTTATTCTGTCATTGTTACAAGAAGAATTCTAGAGAGACAAAATATTGTCCCTATGGTATGAAAAAACCTTTTTTTGACTTTTTTAAATTTTAATCAGTAAATTTATATTGTTTAGAACAGATTTTGGTCAAAAATGAACTCAAAAAATGTTTTAAATTTATTTATCCTATAATATTTTAATATTGAATTTAATGCTGCTTCTGCTGCTGCTGTCGTTACTCATTTGTGTATGTTTGCACAGAACTCACACAGCCATTACACATTTCGTACACATAAAAAAATCTGAACAAAAGTGTAAATATCTAACTTATGTAAACTTTTAATTATGTAATGTTGAAACATGTCAAGCAATTGCTTGACAAAAGCTATCAGCCTCCATTTTTGAAATATCTAAGGTCTTAAATTTTATATTTCAATGAATTACTACAAAACATAAATGTATTTTTTTGCACAAAACTTGTATTTTCAAAGTTAATGCTGCATCAATTGTATGAGATAAAAACATGAAAGTGGCTAGAGCTACTAAAATTTTGTATAGCGCTCACCATGTTCATTACTGACTGCGCCATAATTTTCTAGGAAGAAGTCCAGATGTGAGTCGAGTAAATAAATTTTCAGAGACATATTGCCAAGATGCTTGTACATATTAATGTACAAGCAAAGCATTTTTGTACAACATTCACGTAGTCAGCACATTTCTTATTTCCAAGGAAATTGGTTTCATGAAAATTTGTTTCATGGAAATTGGACTGACATGAATGCCACCCATGCATCTTTTTCAATAACACTTAGAATGTCATGAAAGTGTTTATCAGCCATATTTTTTTTTTATTTGAGGACCAATGAACACACCTTCTTTTACCTTTGCATCACATAACCCTGGAAGTTTATTGCATAGGTACTGAAATGCAGCAGAGTCACTGTCTAATTTCTTTACAAAATTTTTCATAAGTCCCAACTTGATATGCAGCGGTGGCATGACTATCTTGTCACGATCAACTAAAGTTGGATGAAGAATGTTTTTATTTCCTGACTGCATTCTATTTCTGATTAGCCAAGTCTTCTTGAAATAGTGTTGCTTCCTATCTCTTCTGTCCCATTTGCATATGAAGCAGCAGTACTTTGTATATCCTGACTGCATTCCCATTAGAATAGCTAATACTTTTAAGTCACAGCAAATACTCCAGTTTTACTTGCGGTAATGTATTTTTTTAAGACATGTTTTTGTATGTCTCTTTTATGTGGGTAGAATATACAACTGGTACTTAAGCATATCTATTTCCATTGTGAAACAATACTGCCTTTAAACAAGTCTTGGATGAGTCAATGAACAGTTGCCATTCTTCAAATCTGTGTTTAACTCCTAGACATGACAAAGGACTATCAACATCGGTGCAGAAGCAAATACTGTCACTTCTGACAAAGTACTGAACAAGATTTTTCTGCCTGTGAAAAAAGTTTGTTTTTATTGTACCTGGTGCAAGCAAATGAAATTTATTCAAAAGAGAACCAAGCAGTTCTGCTTGGATTTTCAGTAGTGCCAGTTCAGCATAATTAATCAAATGAATTCCTTCTCCAGCAGCATTGTAGTCAGAGTCTGAGTCGTCGGTAGAAAATGAAATATCACTTTCTTCTTGCTTTCTTTTGTCAGTTGTGAATGATGCAGGTGCTGATGGTATTGGAAAAACCACAGGATCATGTGGAATTGATTTCATAACTGGCTGAATGTCTGGGTAGCTTATAGATGAATGAATTTTATAAGAAATTCCACTAATTTTTGCCATTCAAAAATAACAATCTGTTTAGTGATTACTATGCTCACGCCATATCATGGAAACTCCAAATACCATGTGATTGTTTTTCTTTGCCTTCTTGATCCAACTACATAAGTTGCATGAGCATGTTAAACAGATAAAGTTAGGTGCCCACGACTTACCACAATCCACTTTTGAATCAAAGTACAGTTTGTATGCTTTCTTTAGTAATTGTGTGAAAGTCTTCAGATGTGACTTGTTTGTTACATAGCCGCACACATAGCAAAAAAGATCAGGTGATTTTACACATCCTCTGGTTGCCATATTATTAGCGAATCACCACATTAACTTTTATTTTTCATGTCCACATTAAGTTTTATTGTTCCTGCAATGAATACAGAATAAGTAAAGTAAGAATTTGCAATTATATTTCCCAATCAAACAGTACAACATAACACTGTTTATATATATATATATATATATATATATATATATATATATATATATATATATATATATATATATATATATATATATGTTATTGTATATGTATATATTCAACAATATCTTAATTTGACCTGATGGAGCAAAACGGTTTTCAGATTTGAAATCAGCATAAAATATTACTTAAGAAACACTTAATGGCATTCAAGATATCCACAGCTTTTTTCCACAGCTTGTTTTTGAGTGTAATTAGAGATAATTAGGTTATTATTGTGCTAAGTCAGCGCGTTTAAAATACATTAAAGAGACAACTTTTTTCCTTATAGGAAAAAAAATTTCACATTCAAACTTTTATTTTCTTTAAATTAAGGCAAGGGTCCTAATAAGCTGTAGATGGTCTGAAAAAAAATTTGTCTATTCATAATTCGCAGATCTAATTATTTAATGAAAATATGTTGTAGTCTAAAAAACATCATACTAAAAAATCTGTCTACAAAATATAATACAAATCAGTCTACAAAATATCATACAAAATATCATATCATACAATGTTGTTATGACTATATTTCATTCAAACATTTTTTTTTAATTAGCTTTAACCTTTTAAATCCATGCAAGCAGTGAATCCAGTTTTCTTGATTGTTAAATTTCTAGAAACAGTTTCTTGTAATAAAAAAATATTCTTGTTATTAAACGAATTTAATTTACTTTTAATATACATACTTAATTTATGTAAAGTAAAGAAATCTATTTTCCTCATTAAATAAATTTCTAGTACCAGTTTGTTATATTCATATAACATTTTTTGTATTTAACTTATATTTCAGAGGTGGTCGAAAGTTTCGTGGTCAAAAGTTAGTTGAGAAAAGATAGTAGATGCCCATTGGTGGGGTTCAAACCAGGGATTCTGTGTTTCTTAGACAAGTGCACTACCACTGCGCTACAACTGCTAATTAATAAATTATAGTTTTTTATGTTATTTTTTTATTAGTTTTTAAAAATAACTAATTTTCAATAATTTTTAAAATTATTATTAAACTTTAATTTGGCAAACTTTATTTGGAGAATGGGATTTTTTCACCTTAAAATTGGGAATTTATTTATTTTGAGCATTTGGGAATACCGCGTTTGATGGGGCCCTACAGGGCTAGTTTACACCCTGTTAACTTCAAATGCTTTTTGAACTTTTTATTCTGTAGAAAATATGTTTTTTTTACCAGTTACTATAAAATATTGAAGTAAGATTTAAGTTTAGAAATGTTCAGTATAGAATAGACTTATTAAGACCTATTTAATATTTTATTACTATTTCGTTTTTACAGCTGTTTAAAGTTTAAGAAAAAATTTAAATATCATTACTGTTTTTAACAATAATTTAAGTATCATTACTGTTTTTAACAATAACTTTATACTGCTGTAAAATAAAAACAATTTGATGAATTTATAAATAATTTCTGGATATGTTAGAAAATTTGTAAATTATTTAAAGACAAAAAATGATTCAGGTTACTAACTACAAATACCAAGTTAAACACTAAGGCATAGCCTAGACAAGAGAACAGGATTCTAGATTTGTAGGTCTCTCTGAATAAATTGCACCTCTCCCTCATTTTAATACATAGTTGTATATAAAAAAAATAAATAAATAAATAATAAAATGTAAATAATTATTGTATATATTTTATTTCTATATTTTACTTTAGAAGTCTTATTATAGTATGGCTATTTTTAACTTGCTATATAAAATGATTATTTATTTTTTTGTTGAAAAAACTTGTAAAGCTAATCTTTTAAATTTCTTTACTTTATTTATTTAATTTAGCAAATTTTATTTTATTATTGTTATTTTAACTTGCTTTATATAGTGAATATAAATTTTTATATTTTATATATTATGGATACTTTGTAAAAAATATATCACGCAAATTGTAGGGGCTTAATGACAAGACTTATGTCTTCTACTTGCTCCTGTCATTCTTTATATTTTGATTTATTTTATTAAACTTGGAAACGAGAACATTGTAAAATGCTTATATATGACGAAATAAATAAATAAATACCACACTAAATAAATATGCTACCATTATTAAATTATAGGCAATTATCAAAACAAATATATATTATATTGTAGATAAAAACTTTAACTGCCATTATCTCATAGTTATGAATATTGAGTTGTTTAGTTGTAGCATTGGACCCACAATACTTAGTTTGTTTCTCTATCTAATAACTATGCATATCAATATAGTATTATATAATGACTATTTGTATGAGTTAAACTATATAAAATTAATTGGTTTTATGCTTTTAAAAGCATAACTTTTGTATTGAACGATAATAATTTATTTTCAAACAACTCACAATTTTTAATCAATTAAAAACTTGAAGTCCAGAAAATATTTTCTGATATTGCAATTTGCTATTTCTCAATCAGTCTTGTTTTGTTCATTTATGTATTGTTTATCTTATTATACAGGTAAATACTTAAAATAGTTAATCATAATAAAATAAAAGTTTAAAATATAATATAAAATAATTTTTTTTAGTAAAAACACTAAAAGGTGATCATTTATCAAGAGCAATAGGAAGAGTTGCTGGTAAAGGAGGAAAAACAAAGTTTACCATTGAAAATGTTACTAAAACTAGAATTGTTCTTGCTGATTCGTGAGTTTTTGTTTTTATTTTTAAAAATTTGTATAAATAATATTTATATAGTAAAAAAGTCAGAATGTAGGAAATACGAGTTTAAGAAAGCTGAACTCTTTTTATAAAATAAAAAAAGTTTAACTCTCCTGTGTTCATAGATTTTTACAAGAATAGTTTAAAAAGACTGAATATATTAATGACTGAATATACAGGGTTCCCACTCTTCCTTAAAAACCTTAAATATCCTTAAAAAAAAAAACTCCTTAAAAGTCCTTAAATAAACTTAAAAAAGTTAAAATTTGACTGCTCTCCTTAATTTCTCCTTAATTTTTTTTTTAATTATCTAGGAAATTTTATTAAAGCAAATGGATTATACTTATCTATAGAGAAGCATATAGTTACTTAGTTACTTCTTTGATGAGTTAAAATCCTATATTTTTGTTTTGTGATGCAAAGTTTGTTTTAAGTCATTCTCAGTAGCAGCCATGGGTATAAAGGCTCTTGATGTACATGGGAGAGGAGCAAAACACATAGAGCGGTTGCCTAAAGAGGGTTATTTTGTTTCGTTTAAAGAAACTTTGCAATCAGTACCACAGAAGCCTACCTCATGAAAACAATGTATTATTTCAGATATGCTTCAAAAGGAAGAAGTTTTGAAAGCAGAGTTAATTTGGTGTTTAGATATTGCTCAAAGCAAATACTCTTTTAGATCAAGTGAGAATAAGTCTAAACAATTTGCTTCCATGTTTCCAGATAGCAAAATTGCCAGCGACTTTTCCTGTGGTCGAACAAAGTCTGGCTATATTGTAACTCATGGTCTTGCCCCTTATTTTAAAAACATTCTGATAAAAGATCTTAACCTGCTTGATAACTTTGTGTGTCTTTTTGATGAGTCTTACAATAAAATTGTAAAGAAAGGTCAAATAGACTTACATGTGCGATATTGGAATGAAGAGAGTAATACTGTTTGCACAAGATATTATACTTCAGAGTTCATGGGAAAAGCTGCAGCCCCAGATATTCTAAATATGTTTAAACCCTGCATGACTGGTTTAAATGCTGAAAAAATGCTTCAGGTTTCTATGGGTGGCCCTAATGTAAATAAACTGTTTTTGGAAATGCTCAACAAAGAACATCACAGCAATGAATTAAGTATACTCATCGATATTGGTACCTGTGGTTTACATACTATCAATGGATCCTTACAAACTGGTGCTAAAGCTACTGGAACTTAAAGAAGTTAATGTCTTCAATGTACCAAATATTTCATGAAAGTCCATCAAGAGCAAGTGATTATGAAAGAATAGCTGAGGCAACAGGTTCAGATTTTCCTTACATGTTTTGTGATACTCGATGGGCTGAAAATCAAAGTGTTGCCAAGAAAGCAATAGAGGTTTGGTCAAAAGTAGTATTAGTTGTTGACTACTGGAAGTCTTTACCAAAGAGTAAGCAACCTGGATGTGGTAAATCAGGACAAAACACCAGCTTTAAACATTTAAGTTCTCGAACAAATAAAGTTTTAGTTCCTTTAAAGTTAAAGTTTTTTGAAGAAATTAGTGGCAGTCTAAATACATTCCTTGGTACGTAATATTTAATCTAGATGCAATTTTATTGCTCTTTATGTAATTTATTTTGTTTTATTACAAAAGTAAAAAAATATTGAGATATTCTTTTCATATTATTTTTAAAATTTTGAGAAAAAATCACAAAAAGATATTTTTCTTGTCTTATCAATATCTTGCTATTTTTTTTTCTTCTAGTTTCTTTTCAAACTGATAAACCAATGACTCCTTTTCTGGTGGTGACACTTGAAGAACTACTACGCAACTTTTATGCAAAGTTCATTCGATTAGATGTTCTTTTAAATGCCAAAACTACAACATCTTTGTTAAAAATAGATTTGTTTAATTTTGCAAACCGGCTTTCAACCAGCCAAATTGATTTTGGTTTTTCATTGAAGTATGATCTCCAGCAACTTAAGAGTAAGGGAAAGATTACCGATGTTCAAATTGACAAGTTCAAAAAGGAAATATGTGGTTTTCTTGTCTCAATGTGTACTCATATTATTGAGAAAAGCCCTTTGTCTTCACTGGTTGCTCACTGTCTGGTGTGTATTTCCCCATCATTTATGGTTGAATATCCAGAAAAGTGTGATTATTTTTTTTGACAAACTGTTGATGAAGCTTGTTACTTACAAGAAAATTAGAGCTTCTGTTGGTGATTTAGCTAAGAAAGAATATTCCAGGTTCTGTAAAAGTGTGGTCGTTGATAACAAAGAAGTATTTTTGACTTTTGATAAAGATAAGGATCGTTTGGACTACTTTTGTGGAAATACACTGATTTAAAGATATATGCAAATCTACAGCACATTTTCAAATTTATACTTATTTTATCACACGGACAAGCTCAAGTTGAACGAGGATTTAGCAGCAATAAAAGTCTGATCGATGACAATATTTCCCCAGACACTATTATCTCGAGTCACTAGAGAAGCTATATGTCAAAAAAAAGAAACTTGTCAGAAAAAATTTCTTTTTTTATTTATAATAGTGTATCTATTTATATTTAAAATTGATTGAAAAAAGAAAGATTCTGTTTTTAGTGTTATTGTTTTCTCCTTAATTCTCCTTACTTTTTCCTTTAAAAAGTTGTCGTTCGCGACTGAATCTCCTTAAATAATAGGAAAATATCTCCTTAAATCTCCTTAATATCCTTAATTTTAGCCCCAGTTTTAGTAGTGGGAACCCTGATATATCAAATATTAAATGTTATAAAAATTGATCTATTTTAAATATTATGGTAAGCTTGGCATAAACTTTGTTTCGAAGAAACTTTTTATTGATATGCTTCAATACTGCAACTGATTTAATAACTACTACTCTATTTCCTTTTTCTGTGACAATTGCAACATGCAAGTATTATTTAATCTACTCAATGTTTTAATATAAGGTTTTTTGATGCTATATCTATAACACTTGATTTTATTTATTTAACATAACCTATATTGTTAACCCTATGTTTGTATCTATTTTGCTTTATTTCTTTAGTTTTTTTATGATGAATAGTTTTTCTTTCTCACAGTAAGCTGCTATATTATGGTTTGTTGAATGAAGAAAAGGAAGTATTGTGTTATGTGAACTTTCCATGTAGCACTAATCTCAATACTCTAGAATATGTCTTGAACATATCAAATCAGGCTCTTTCTTTTAAATCTAGTTATCAATGTTATTTTCTGTTATATGAAAGGACTCTGCTTGAAGGAATTAAAACTTTTTAAAACAGTCTGCATTTGGTAATAAGTCATATGTTCTATCATTTCTAATGTCTCTCTTAAGTATATATATACAAACTTTAGGAACTTAATTGCATTGTTTCCATTAAATTCTCCACCTTTTCACCTTTAAAACATGTAGTTTGAGTTTAACCATTTAAAGCAAAATCTAGCAAAGCTACACAGAAGCACTGCAAGTCTACTTACCCACTTAAACATAAAGCTCAGAAAAAGGAACTAACTTCTCAAGAAAAGTCTCGATATCTTTCTTATTGTACATTGTACTTTGTAAGTTAAAACTAAATTTTTTCCATTTTTTAAGTTTAATATTTGTAACTTTTTCATTCTGTCAAATTTAAAGTTGTTGTAGTGTTCACCCAAGGAGTTTTCTTGTTATCAGGCTCAAGAGTAGAGGATATCTCACTTTATAAGCTGTACTTTTCAACATAAAACTAATTCTAAACACTGAAGATTATTTAAGTATTTAAGATCATCAATATTTTTTGAATTTATAATAAATATTTAATAAGAATTATATTTATAATAAATAATTAAAATGCAACATAATATCTTGTATTTTCAGAGGCTTCTAAAGATTATCCTTTGAAATATCCTCAACTATCTCTTTACTTCAGCATCATTGTACCTTAATCAATATAGCTTAAGATTACTGTAAATAGTTTTAATCTCCTGCAATTAAAAATATTTATGGCTACCTTAAGGAATTGTTGACATAAATCCATTCAATAAAGGTTTTAGTTTATATCTTAACTCTATTTAAAACAAAAGTTCTTGTTTTGCTTTTTTCAAAGCACAAGAGATTTCATTAAATCCATATCTGTACCAAAGCATCTGTTTTGATTCTGTTAATTTTCTCTTTAATTCTGTTAAATATTCTCTTCAATTCAATTAATTTTCAGTTGATTGTCTGAAGCCCCAGCTACAGTTTTTTTGATGAGGCTTTTGTCTAAGATTAGGCTTTTGTCTAAGATTAGGCTTTTGTCTCATGCAAATATTTTATTAGTTGTGCATACTCCATTTTATGGACAACTGAAGTGAATCAGTTCTGCATACTCCATTTTATGCACAAGTAAACTTGGCTACAGACATTAATAAACTTTTCTTTTTTTAATTTAAATTTTAATTTAAATTTTTCAATCTAAAGGTGTTGCTGATATGGAGTAAATTTTGCTTTATCTATAATTTATAAGATTTATATTTGATTGTGCAAACTTTTCATTTTTTAAGTTTGGATATTTTGTTATTTATCAAGTTTTGATAATTTTTGTACTTTTAATTTTTTTATGCTTGTTTTTTTTTTTCTTCTCAGGAAAATTCATATCCTTGGTTCATTTCAAAACATTAAAATTGCTCGAACTGCAATATGTAACCTGATATTAGGTGAGAAACATTTCAAACAATTTAATCAAATTCATTTCTTGAATAAGTAAGAAGGTGAGTATAAATATATATGTATATATGTATATATATATATGTATATATGTATATATGTATATATATATATGTATATATATATATATATATATATATATATATATATATATATATATATATATATATATATATATATATATATATATATATATATATATATATATATATATATATATATATATATAATAAACACTAAACCTTAGCGATGGTTCAACCTAACCAGATAATATACTTAATTACATACATACTAGTTCTAATCACCCACCAAGTGTAATAAAAAGTATTCCTAAAACCATTGAGTTAAGATTATCAGCAGCATCATCAAGTGAATCGATTTTTAAAGAAAGTATTCTTTCTTATTAAGAAGCCCTGAAAAAAATCTGGATACACTTGCAAACTTGCATACCATCCAAGTATAAAATCTTCAAACAGCAATCATAAACGTAAAATAGATTGGTATAATCCTCCTTTCAGTGCAAATGTTGTAACAAAAATGGTGAAAGTTTTTTAAACCTCATCGACCACCACTTTCCAGTTAACCACAGACTCCATAAAGTATTTAATAGAAACACAATCAAAATAAGTTATTCATGCATGCCAAACATAAAATCCATTATCAATTCTCACAATAAAAACACGTTACATGAGGAAGAAAAAGTTAAAGAAAAGACATGCAACTGCATTGATAAATCCAAATGTCTGATGAGCAACCATTGTCTTTCTAACAACATTGTTTATTAAGCCAACGTTTGTTCAAACAATCCGGAGTATAAAGAAAAAGTGTATTTTGAACTCAGCAAGATATCTTTTAAAGTTTGATACACAAACCACCGTAATTTTAATTGTAATTTTAATGTCTATTGTGAATTTAAATTGTGGATTTTAAGTCCAGATTTTAATTTAGTAAGCCACTTCAAGCCTTAGTCTGTTACAGAAGAGAGATCAGATTTAAAATCGGCTGTTTGTTCTAAGCAATTAAAAAGTAAAGATTTTTTTTCAAGACAAGAGTATAAAGTTTTGTCAGCAAATAGAGACACTTTAGATTTCATGAAGATCCTTATTGTAGATAAGAAATAATACAGGAGTAAAGGTAGATAGCTTGTGGTACCCTTATAGTTACTTGAAATAAAGAAGGGTCGGCCTTCAAGAATAACTTTACTACTGCAGTTAGAACGAAACAATTTAATAATCTCAAAACCTTTATAACAAAAAACTATTAACTAAGTGAAGACTAATCATATGAGAGTTGGAGAGGTCAAAGTGTTTTCTAGAGTTTTGAAAATTTAGAATCACTTATTTAGCACTTTTTAATAGTTTAGCAAAAATTGAAGAGAGTTCTGGAAAAACACTTTTTTAAGACTATGATGGAAATCTATTCTGGAGCACAAACTGTAGAAGCGTTTAATTGAGAATTTAGCATCAGAAACCAGAGTGATTTGGATGTTTAACAATGAGTTAATCTGTTTAATTGTCAGGAAGAGTATGGCCATTATATTCAAGAATCAAATTAAAGTAAGGTTTCTTTGCAAATATTTCTGCTTTATTTTGGGGAGAAGTAAAAAGATCAGGCCCATGAATTAGAGATTAAATGTTAGACTTACTTTAGTTAATGACACTGGTGAAGACTAACCAAAAGTCCCTAGAACCTAACATCTGAGATAAGATACAAGATTTAGTAAACTGAGAATAACAGAACTTGACATCAGACACAACTATTTTACATTAGCTGCTAACAATAAAAAAAGGACATTTGTTCTTAAGAGAGATGTTCTTGTAAAAGAGATTAAAAAAAATGATTAATGTTAAAAAGATTAATGTTGAAGCATTTATTCCAGAAGGAATAAAAGCTTCAAAGATGCATTTTATGCATGCATATTATAGATATAAACATATCTGTTTGCTATTTATTTAGATGCTGGTATTCAATATCCTTTCTTTGTTATATAAACTTTACTATTTATATGGTGTATAGGACATAGGACAGATTGTTATGTTGTAGTATTTGCCGAAAGAGAAGATGATCATATGGATTTGTGGTGTGACTCTAGCAAGACTAGAAAAGGAGGCATAATCTTAGACAGATAAGAAAAAATGTTGTATCGAACAACGTTTGCTAGAAAATATTAAAGTAATTTAGGTATCAGCTGTAGAGAGGTAGCAGCTTCAGTAGAAAATGGTAGTGGTAGAAGTAATAAAATTTGAAGACAGTGCCTTACATATTGTATGAATGAGCTTTAGTTAGGAAAATAAAATGCTCTGTTTATATTAGATAAGATATGTTGATCATAATGATGTTTATATATGCCTATATATACAAATTATAACATGAGTTTTTAATTTAAAAAAAATACTTTAAAATGTATAAATGTTTATGCAGTCTCGGTCACAAACCCGGCCCTGGCCCCGGCCTTTTCCCCAGTTAAATATCAACCCCAGTCACTTACTAATAGTATGTATGTAAATATATATATATATATATATATATATATATATATATATATATATATATATATATATATTTATATATATATATATATATGTATGTATGTATGTATGTATATAAATATGTATATATATATATATATATATATATATATATATATGTATATATATATATATGTATATAAATATGTATATATTCTTATATATATATATATATATTTATATATACGTGTCGTATATATATGTATACATATATATACGTATATATATATATATATATATATATACATCATCAGCCATGTAATACAAAATCATGAAACAAAAAACTATTGAAATATAAAGTTACAGTGAAGTGTGCTCTGTCATCATAACAACAAAAAGAAAAAAAAAGAAAAAGAAAAATGGCTGCCTAATCCACTCATCAAATTTTGGAAGAAGAAATTTGCTTTTATTCCTTTTTTTAATGTTATCATTGGTGTAAGATATTATGACATACTTTTCATATAGACATACATGTAAGATCTACAACATTTTACAATTTTACATTCAATTGTTGGGTTTACTTCACTTTCTTTTAACCTCCATACTTTCTTAGATAATTCAGTATCTTTTTTATAGTTTTTGATATTAAAAGATTTTCTATGGTTAGTGTATTTAAGTTTGAATATGGTTTCACTATCTCCAAAATGCACTTTTTTATTCCTGGCAGGAGTGTCTGGGTACAAAGTTGCTTGATTCATAATATTATTTACAAGACATTGTTGATTTAAAGGATACTTGCTTTTAATAATACAATTGCAATGCTTATTGGAATCTAAGCTGTTATTTTTTATTATGTGATGGTTATGAGAGTTAACTATTGATTTGATGTTTGGTATACAACTGAACTCACCTTTAGAGTATTTCTGTTAAAAATCTTGTGGTATTTATGGCCAACTGGGAAGTGTTAGTTTATTAAATCCAAAAAGAGTTTAACAATTTTGGTAGAAATATTTTTACTATATGGGGTGTTAAACCAGATTATATTGCACGTACAATTTTTTGATAGAGGTATGATAAGTTTTGTAATATAATTAAGTTTGAATTTGTAACCAGTTTTTTTTAATTTATCCTGATGATGATGAATTAGCTGACAACCTTAACTCTATAGAACAAGAAAGTTGCTTTAAAATGCTATTAGGGTGATATGAATCAACATGTATATAACTTTGTTCATCATTTGATTTACAAAATGGTCTAAAAGACTGGTCCTTGAGGTTAAGTGCCACCTCAAGAAAGTTCACAACTTTTATGTTACATTTTATAGAGATAAAAAAATTGTTAATTTTAAAAATTGTTTAATATGTTTTTTTATTGTATCCATGAGGTTGCCACTTGCATTTTTGAAAACTGCTAACCCATCGTCTCAGTATAAGCCAAAATCTGTTTTGTTATAATGCTGGGATAGCTGAAAAAGAAGAAAAATTCTGACAAGCTCACATACCTCTGCGGCGTCAAAAGCACTTATTGCAACATCAAACAAAACACTGTTTTTTTTAATCCAAGATTGCTCATTATGAAACAATGATTATTTTTGGGCTTGTTTAATTATTAGTTTATCTTCATTTTTAATGGTTACATATTTCTCAGCAAATTTAATCACATTATTTAAAAGATTTTCATTGATAGAAGGAAATAAATCAATAATGTCAAAAATTAAAAATTTATAAAAATATTTGTTTTAGTACCTTTGAACGAATCTAAAATGTTGTACTTTTTGTAATCGTAAAATGTTGCAAAAAAGTTGTATTTTCTTTGTTTATAAATTTATATATATATATATATATATATATATATATATATATATATATATATATATATATATATATATATATATATATATATATATATACACACACTGTGTCAAAAAAGTTTTCATCCACCTATCTTGCACATTTTAAAAATGCAATAAATTTTTATTCAGCTAAGATGTTAGCATGATATTAACTAAATTATATCATTTAAACATTTAAGAAATATTGTAAAATTTTTTAAAGTAATGAGTAACAAATAAAATACAGCATTTCAGAATTAAAGATAGACATTTTTGTCCCAAAAAAGTTTTCATCCACTTTACAAAAATCAAATAAAATTGTTATTCAAACTCAATTTGTTAGTGTTTTATAAACTTGTGTTTCTACCACGAGCTTTTATTACTTCGTGTAGTCTGTTTTTCATAGAATCAACTAATTTTTTGGTAATTTCTGGAGTGATTAAGCCCCACTCTTTCATAATTACTAATTGTAGTTGTTGTTTATTCCTAACATTGTGGGTGCTTATACTTCTACCTAATTCATCCCACAGATGTTCGATAGGATTCAAATCTGGAGATTGTGGGGGTGTATGAAGTTGCTTAGCTATTTTAAATATAAGCCATTCCTTGACAAGTTTAGCTGTATGTTTTGGATCGTAATCTTGCAAAAAAATAAATGACCTAGTAAGTCCCAATTTGTAGGCACTTTCTT